CCCCCCCCCGACCTCTACCGCTCCCACATTTCCTCGCCTTCTCCCTCGGTCTCTCCCCAGCTCCGAGATGTGCGGAGAGAGCTGCAAGACGCTCTACACGAGCGCGACGTAGCCGTTGCTAAATGCGGTAAGGTGGACGACCTGGAGGAAACGGTCAGCGAGCTGAGGCGGCACAACAAGGAGCTCGAGGATCAGGTGACCAGACCAGCGTACACGCTCTCCGCATGGCCGTGTAAGGCGGTGGGTAGTCGAAGCAGTGCAAGCAGCGAGTTGGGTTCGTGTGTTGAAGGACACAGCGACAATCAGGGGGGACAAAAGTCCAGTTTCCCCGTTGGTAAAGCTAGACATTTTCCCGTGCAGAGTACGCCGTCGAAAGATTGGTGGTGGCGATGGGTACTCAGGCAAAGCCGGGAGCCCAAACCTTGCTTGATATGTCCCGGTCAATGAAACCACTCCGCAGCAACGAATCTGGCAGGGAGTAGAAGTTCTGCTTCGCATTCCCATGATGAGCGAGTTTTATTCAGATTTCAAACCCTAAGACATTGACACGCAAAATCCTTTATCGCAGCGGTTGGTTGTACACCGGAAAAAATGACCGCAAGCTTCAGGCGAATGAAGATCGCACCGACAACAGTTTGGTGGAGCTGGCTCAGAAATAGCCTATGCAGTACAGTGTTCCATCCCCCCGACCAAACTATAATCAGCACGCACGTGTACCAAGGCTTTGAACGACACAAAGTTCTGTCATCATGGAAGTTGTACATACAAGGCACGAACGAAGCTCCTGCTATGCTGCCCTAGATACTGCGGTGTGGAGAAAATAACTTCGTTGCGGAGAATGCTTTGATACTGTAACAGTCCATGCAGCTAAAACCAAGGTTTAATGCTGCGTTCATTGCAGGTGACGAGGCTATGCGAGAATCCTTTCATCTCCCAGGCTTTCCGCGACCAGGAGCGATCGGAGCGAGTGCTGGAGCTCGAGCAGGGGAGCCGAGCGGCCCAGCTCAAGATCGATCACCTGCAGGTTGGTTGCAGACATGGAAGATGAACGTATGCAAGAAAGAAAGGCCAATAGTATCCCCTCCCTATACTACTATCATGCCACACCTGAACACGTTCACTGACATGTCTTTGGGGCTGAGAAATACAAAGCAAGGTAGAGAGGTGATGACTAAATAAACCTAGTTGAATCCCTCACAAGTTGGATTCGCTCAATATCACGCCCTGTGGTTCGAAGTGTATGCTCGCCCACCCAACGACAATCTGCACGGATTTGGTCGCACTCTTGCTGAATCTGCGATTTTTTCAGTACATAACCTTATCACTCAAGTTTCAGGGTGACCCTGGATAAGAGCTCTTCACATCTTGAGGCAAGACCGTCGAATCGATTGAGCCTGCGAGCGACGGCAACCGAATGGAATGACGAAATAAACAACCATATCCGCTATTTCCTCAAACTATCTAACTGCCGTCTTTTCGGAAAGTGTTGTTCGAAACAGGCGCAACAGGTGATATCATCGGTACGTGACAAGCGCTCAAGAAGTTGCTTAGCGCGTTTTGTCGGCATTGACTATGTACGTACGTGCTTGCATCCGTGTAGCTACTTCAAATTTTTACCAGTAGCTCTTAGTGACAAGTAACGCTCCGAACCCTCAGCCTCTGTACGTGTTCCCCCCTTCCACGTCATGCTTCATTGTTGTCGATGCATCAGGGGCAGCAGACCAATAACTCGATATAAAAGAGTAAAGCTCGGATCCTCTGTTCGCTTTCCCCCTGCCACGTCACCCTTGACTACTTCGACAACAGGAGGCAGCCCAGACACACCACGCGGCGCTGGTCACGCTCAAGAAGCAAACGGTGCGGCTGCGAGAGGACAAGGAGAGGGCGGAAAGAGCCCTTCAGGAGATGCGGGTCAGGCATAACGAGACAGAGGCCGGTGCCCAGGTGTGTGCGAGAGATAGACAGAGATCGGGGCGGGATGATGAGAGCGAAGTGGAGCGAATGGGTCCGAAGCGATCGCAGACTAGGAGAACGGAACGCTGCCGCGGACGGCGAGACAGACGGAGATGGAGGGGGGAAGAGACAGACCGGGGACGAGGGAATAATTCTTCACCGAAAACATGTGGGGAGTCGCGTCATAGGTGAAGGGTGCAACTGCCCCTCACATGCGTGCAAGGACGAATTTTGGAGAGTCACCAAGTAACGGTTTCTGTTTCGCGGGTGCGGCCCGAACCCGATGCTCCCGTTGCATTCCTTCATCTAGACGTTGTCACCGTACTCTTTCTTCCACCTATTCACTGTTTCCATTGAAGGTAACAGGCTACCGCCAAACCCTTCCCCACTCGCGTAATACAACGGTTTCCTCCGAACACCAACAGGGAAATCCGTCCTGTTAACGCCACAAGGTGGACAGCAGAGAAGTATTTGTGCTGCTACTGTATCTTTAGTGTTTTTTTTTTTGTGTATTTCTTCTTCGTTTCAGCTTATGGCCGATAAGATGAGGCTCTACGCCGGGGACGAGGACATAGACCTGGAGGAGCTGGAGCGTGCTTTGACCATCGTCAGGAGGAAGATGGCGGATCCCGCGGCCTTCCCGGGCTTCCTCGAAAACCCTGAGGTTGTCTGTCCTTGCTTGTTGATCCCTTTCTTGTCCTTTGGTTCGTCAGCGTCGAGTCTGCGTGCCTGCTAGCCTGGTACGTTGGTATTGTTGTTGTTCTGGTGGTTGTTGCAGGGGGGACCCGATCCGCAGAAATTCATGAGCAGGAAAACCCTTGAGACCTGTTCGCCACGCTTGCTTCCGGGTAGATCGCGTTTTTCAGCTATAGTCGCCTCTTCTTATTGCTCGACCAGAGCGGAAGGTGCGGCAGCATCTGCAGATATCCTGATGGCTGGCTGACTGGATTGTCAAGCGCCGCCCTTGAACCAACCCGTACATGATCCCCAGAGTATGCGCGTAGCCCTTTCCGATTCTAGATACGTGTGGCAATCTTGAAAGTTATATTGGTGTGCTTTGAAGGGTCTAGATTCCCGTCGGTATTATTACCGCAAAGGTAGGCACGTCGCGATTCTCGCTGCATTCCGCTGTCCTCGCCTGGACGCCGCTGGCGTATTACGATGGATCGGCAGCCGGCGACAGCAATTCCACGGCACAGAATCTCGGTGTTCATTCAAAACCTTGCGTCGGGATAAAAAAACGCACCATTTCTTTGCGGCAGTCTGGGGGAAACGGGTAACGAGAACATGTTTCAGGTACACGAATACAAATGCGTGCGTGCGCGCGTCAACCAATATAGAAATACAATTCTCTCGCCACTTCTCTTTTCCGCCTTCCGTCTTCCAGGAGGAAGACATGGACAACGTCCCCGCCCTCCGGCGTAAGCTGCAACGCGTGCAGGTGTCCAACCTCAACCTCACGAGAGAGCTTGAGCGCGCAGAGCGCATGCTCAAGGCCCAGGTAAGACTTTGTGCTCAGTGAATGAGTGCGACTATCGTACCATTCTGCCCGAGATTTTCTCGGATGCGCAACCCATCTGTGTGAATGAACGAGCTGCGCCCGCGAATGCTTCCGTTTTTTTTATCTGGAGCTTGATGCGCGTAGAGGCGTGCTTTTCACGTGATCAGTACGTGCTTAATGAAACACGATGATCGCGACATTTTCGCGGCATGTTTCAACAAAAGCAAGTCAAAGTTGTTCGCTTAAATAAAACAATGGCATCATGAACGGGTGGACGGGGTGGACATCGTGATCGTCCCACACATGGCAAGTCACACTATGCGACACTATTCCGCATGCGAATCCACAGCATCTGTCTCACTTGCACACATGTATGACTGATCCCAGGCACAGATTACTCCCCGTTCAGGATCCGATTCAACTGCCACGTGCTCACGGCAGCTCAACCTTCACCCGACATTCTAGACCTGCCTGTGCGTAGCTTTCTCTCCTCGTGCGCTTTGACGCCTCTCTGACGGCTGGCACATGGATCCCCAGCACGAGAAACAATCACGATTGGGCGCATACCCAACTGGCGTGCCGTTTGGCCTCTCTGACCCGTCCAAAGCGCATTTCTCTCGCGACCTCGCTGGTCATCGACCCCCCAACAGATGAGCATCAACCGTGACTTGCACGTAGAGCTCGAGGAGGCGTGCCGGAGGTCTACCCTGGACCGGGGAGAGCTAGGCCAGAAGCTGCGGGACTTCGAGGCCCTCGCCCTCGAGCGGCTTACCGTGATTAACCGGCTGGAGGCCCAGGTGAAAGCCGTCGCCATTTCGAAGGGTATTGTATAGTATTGTATATTGAGGCGTGCTGTAGCATTTCGTTGTGTTTGATATGGAGTTCTTGCATTTTGCACCAAGTAGTTTCGGGTTGCCGAGACAGTCTTTGACTGCTGAAAGTGGCGCCAAAGAACCGGAAATCATGTACATGATCCTCCTGAGCAGAGCACTATACGTCACGTCGTCGTGAAGAGTTCCTGTCCATTTTCCCTTGTTACCAACGACGTTTTTGGGAGTGGAGGGGGGCTACCCGTTTGCATGTCACCCCGCGCCTGCTGCGCAATCGAAGAAGCTCTTGCACTTGTTCTTCTCGGCGCCATACTAGAACTGATGGAGCAGGCAGCAACACCACCCATCTTTGGCGCGATGTCCGTCGGGACGGCAGGAACTATTTGACGATTCAGGGTATCATGCCTGGCTATATTCCGACGCGCAGGTGAAGCAACTTCTGTACGGGCCGGCGAGGAGGCAGCGCCTGGGAGCCCCCGGCGACGCCTCGGCGGCCCAGATGGAGCAGGAGCAAGAAAGCGCGCTACTCAGCGAGTTGGCCGAGGGTGACTTCTCCGCCGACCAAAACATCGTCGAGGTCTGTGGTTGTCGCGTGCTGTCGTTCAAAAGTAAAAGCAGTGTAGAAGATCTGTATCGTGGCCGTAGTTTGTGTTTTTTGTCGTGTGGTGTTTGCTGAAGTATTTCCTGCATTCGTTGCCGAAAGGTACAGGAGTTTAATGGGCTCGGCATCGGGGGTTCGGTGTCACGGGGTGGCTTTCCTATCCACCGTACGGAAGGAACTCTTGCGCTGCTGGTTGGTGTAGTGAGCTGCTCTTCGTGACGAGGGAGAGCGAAGGCACGGATGCCACTTTCGTTCTCAGTAGCACTACTCACCAGCGAAATACCAACAGCGAGAGTTTGGAAATAGCAGGCCGAGGGCGATCCTCACACCACTCGTTCAAGGCGTTTTCGATGTTTACTCGGTGTGAGTTTGACTCTGTTCGTTATCGCATGACCGGGATATCAGGTTTGGGTGGTCGGTGCCGAGCTGGAGCCCGGGGTGCTTTCGGCCGGATCGTCGAGCTTCATCGTCGTGGACTTCTTTGACTTCGAGAGCCAGGCGACCCCTCTGCTGCCCGGGGTGTCGCCGGCCTTTGACTTCGCGACGACGTTCAAGGTTTGTTGTGTGGACGAAGGGTCAGAAAAAAAGCACACACACAAAACGCGCTTTGAGTCCAGCTGTTATCAGGCACTGGGATTCTCGAGCATGGCCTGTTACGGCGTGTAGTGCCACCAGTAAGCTTTTATCTCGTGCAAACCTAAAGGAGCGAGAACACCTGCAATCCCCCTTTAGTTGCCGGAATAATGCTTGCGGGAGATTGTAGGTCAACCAGTGAGAGTGCGAAAATCTTCTGTACCACTACCACTCTCGTTCAGCACTGAAGCAGTCACGAACCGCTGATGGTGTTCATTCTTCGGAATTCCAGCAACCATCGCGGAACGCGTGTTGTCGGGCGACGAAAAGCGCATACATACTACACAGCGCATTTCCAAACGTAGACGGAATGCTTTGAACACCGTAGATATATATATATATATATATGTACGGCGAATGTACAAGCGATGCTCTTCTTTCGCGCAATCAGGTCACCGTGGACGACTTTTTCTTGCGCTTCCTTGGCACCGAGGGCCTCGTGCTCGAGCTCAACCAGGCTAGGGCCGCGGATTTCGAGCTGGTCGGACGAAGGCAGGTGGCGCTGTCCGGCCTCCTGTCGTCGAAGCCGAGGATCATCCTGCAGAGGGAGCCGCTCATCTCCACGCGGGACGGGGCGGTCGTGGGCTACGTGCACGTCGAGGTTAGTTGTGCGTCTGGTTTGCTGCTGCTTTGGTCGTTGGTGGTGGTGATGGTGAGCTTGGGGCTATGTCATTGCTATATGCGCTGTTTTTTTTGCCGTCGACGCTATCATGAGCAGTTGAGGTAGCGATTGAGGCAACTGGTGTGGCGTTGGCGCCGTGGATGTGGATGTCGTCGTCAATGCCAAGAAGGTACGAGATTGTGAAACCGGATGTGTTGGGTTGAATGCCTCTTCGGGTACCTTCCTACTTGAAACACTTTCACCCGTAGCAGTAAAGACTACGAAACAGCTCAACCAACCCACATCCGATCGGCGGATGACTGAATACTATACAATCGCACCTATAGTAGTAATAGCAATGCTTCGACCTCTGTAAACACCTCCCGGTCGCTTGCTTGTAGATCTATCTCAGCTTGCCCGCCGTTCGAGTGATTGTCAGCGTTTATCCACCATGGGAAACTCAAACAACACAACGCTGCATGTCACTTCTTCACAGTTCCACGCCCTGTTCGCCTCCCTTGTTCGGAATTATTCTCTCCCAATAGCCTCACGATACGACACAGAGAGGTCGTCAGGCAGCCGTTACGCTATTTCAAGGACCATGCTGGTCCATCCGCCTTGTCTTCAACATGGGAAACAAGCCCTGCGCCTCATCGACCGCACGGCATGCCTGAACAACTCTCCTGTTCCCATGTTAGCCGAAACGATCACGGGCCTGCTAGTTGACTCTCGTCAAAACCATTCACACGTTTACCTCTTTTTTCTGCCAAACGGTTCAAACCCGGACCCGAGCTGATAGATCCGCGCACACCTATCCTGTGCAATATTGACCGTTTCAACACAGATCCGGATGGCTCTGCCTGTGACGGAGCTGTACGCTCTCTTCCTGGAGCGAAGGCCGGAGGAGAAGGAGAGGGTAGAACAAGCCAGGCTTATGGAGGCCAAGGTAAACGTGGCATCGACCAAAATTGGGGCGAACGTGGAGCACCAGCCCCGACTAGTGTGCCTGACAGTCAAAATCGACACAGGCTTTGAAGAACAGCAAGTAACACGACCAAGCGCGCCGCTAGATTCTCGATAAGCAGACAGAAAACGATAAAAAAAGCTCAAGGGAGAAATTCGGCGCGGAGAAGTGGGACAGCGGTAGATTTCAGCCGACTGTGTACACAGTAAGCATGGAAGCATACGAAGGCGGGGCGAAAATAGCCTCGGTATTGTCCAAGCGTCGAGATGTTTCTGTTTTTTCGAGGCTTCCCTATCATGTTTGAGCCGCTGTGACGCTTGTTACGGGCCCTGGCGGCAACTCGCAAGCCAGATCACCAAGTACCCGCTCCACACCTGAACCAAACGAAGAACCGTCTCTCCTCTACTACGGTTTCGGTTGAAGCACAGCTCCTGCTATGACCCCCCCCTCTTACAGCTGCACCTGCTTTGTTGTTGGTACTACATCGGCCTGTCGTTTGACGTTTCCTCCATCGCTTCTGTCACCCGTGATCGCACAAACGTCGTGGTACCCTTCCATCGCACAGGCGAACGGATATCTAACGCCAGCAGACGCCGCCGCCGCCGCCCGCAACGGAGCGATGAATTCCACACTCCACGGAGGCCTCGGCCTCGCGGGGGACACGACGCGCTTGCGCAACGAGCTGGAAGTGGTTATCATTGGATGTCGCGACCTCCCCTCCAGGGCACAAGCGGGAAAGGACAGTGTTGCACCAGCAGCCTACGTTCACTACCAGGTGACAAAGTCCGAGACATTTGACAAGCTGAGAAGTGGCCGCGTGAATGAGACAAGTGCGGTAACATGCGGGAGTCGAGCTCACTCAAAACGGAGGCCGCTTGTTAACAAGTGGCCTAGGGGAACGATGGGTAGAGATTCCGTAGATGGGTCGATTTGCCGTCGCTCAAACCCCACGTACGTTTCTTGCTTGGTCGTGAGAACCCGTCGTAGTATAACCGTGCGCATTTCTAATATCTGGTCCGGGCGGAGGATGGCCGCGTAAAAAAACAAACGTTGGCTTCTGATGGCCTCGACTCTAGATACATTTCGTAGGATGAGCTAACGCCAGATCCTTCCATTAGAAAGATAATCCAAAGCACCAACAACGATAAAAGCACAACTACAATAATACAATTCCAGCGAACACAGCAGCAACTGTGTGTATGCGTGTGTGCTTTCGTATCACACCGCTACGTTCACTTTTCGTGATCATTCCCCCCCCTCTCTCTCTCTTGATCCCCTCCCTTGTCGCCATCTGATCAATCCCAACTTCAGCTCCTGGGGTTCCAAGATGTTTTCACCCCGGTGGTGCACGGTTTGCGCGACCCGAGTTTCCGGCACTCCACCTCCTTTCCCGTCGCCACGGATGACAAGTTGCTGCGTTTCCTTTCTCGGTAAGTTGGATAACTACGGTAGTTACACATGGCAGGCGTATTGGAAAAGAACGAACACAACGAATGGGCCGCGGCGGCGACGGAAATGACGGTAAACACGCGCCGACTTTGCTCAGGGTTCCCGCCCACCCGGTGCGAACATTCGTAGTAGACCAAAGCGCGTTCGTGCAAAGTACTTTACTCAAGGTGCCGCAGACGGACCACTGGACCGTAAGAAGTAAGACTGTCAAGAAAACATTGGGCGTACGCTAAAGACTGTATCCACTTTCACAAAAAGACTCGAACGACAAAAGGACGAGCGTTCAAATGTAAGACCACCTCGTCCCTGTTTCGGATATTCCGCCTCCTCTCCCGCCCCCGAAGCAGAGATAGTTCTTCCTTCGCTCTACACCTGCATTTCGCCATGAACCAACAATGAGAACAGTCTAGGGAAGTAGATTCAACACTGGCTAAATAGTCCGTCTGTACGGGACATGGAAAGGCCTACTACGCCCGCTTGGCGGCACTGGCCAACGCTACGGCCCAGGTTTCACCATGTGCACTGGGGTTCGGCAGGGTTTGGCGCGAATCGATTTTTCTCCTGCCCTGAAGAGTGGGATGTTTGGTTTGGCTTCTCTCAAGCCACGACGTGTCCGACTGGCGTCTCGTCCTCCCTCTGATTTCTGAAACTGCCACACACAGTCACCGCCTGACCGTCACAGTAATGGACGATCTCGCCAACGGACCCGGCGATCCGGACGCCAATCAGGAGGGTGGTGATGCGTGGCCAGATGACGACGAATCGGAGGTAAGAAAGTAGCAGAGGACGCGATCGCCCAACCTCCAACCGAGCACCCGCGCACGCTGCGTCGGTTCCAACAACCATCCGTCTCGTTCATTGTTCATTTGCGAGACGATGGCCACCAACCAGAGTTACGTCGGAAAAATGGCCGTCCGCCCCTACACAACTTCTCCCACTTCGCCGAACACATCACACCACTGGGCATATTCTGTCCCAACCTACAAAAACGTCCCAAAGGTCTACCTACCGAAGCACCCTGCAGAATTTCAGGAAAAATACCCCCTTGCTCCGTTGTCCAGAGAATCGTGCGGTCGACGGATAGAATATCTACTGTAGGGCAACTCACAAAGACCGTTCTTCCTGGCTGACTCTCAAGCACAGGGCTTGATCGGAGAGGCTCTGATCGACCTCTCCCCGCTGGCGGAAGGGCGTCCGGTGGTTGCCGGCTGGACTACGGTCGAGGACGCCACGGGGAGGTCAGCGGGAAAGGTCTGCGTCTCCGCGCGTTGGGTGAAGCCGCTGCGGACGGGGGGTGATCCGGGCCCGCACGGCCTGTCGTCGGAGGAGGTCGAGGGGCTCATGGCGCGCTTCTCGCCAGAAAAGGACGGCCAGGCGCGTGCATCGGTCGTATCGTGTGTGCACGCACATTATTCACATCTGTCAGCATTTTTTTTGTTCGTTTTTTGTGCGTACAGCGGTAGTGTTGTATAATAACCCGTACCGTTTCAACGGGAAGTCTTGAAGAGTGATGCTTCATTTCGTTAGGGTACAATTGGGTTACCGCCTGCCGGGAGGGCGTGTGTTTGTCTGGTGTGCTAGTGTTGGCCGTCGGGTCGTTCAGCCCTTCCAGGGAGGAAACCGGGGCTTGTTTGTGCTTGATGCTGTCGTAACCTGAGAACGATTTGCCGTTGAGCCATAAGAGTCAGCATCGGTTAGGTTGGTTGGATGCAAGCGCTGCTGGTTGTTCTGTGAAGAAACAAACATATTCCCATCCTTTTTCCGATTTTGCAAAGTATGCCCCACATGGTACTGACACTCTCGCCCGATCACTCCGACACTTTCATCTGCCTGCTTACCTAAATTTCGCCAGGTGAACTACATCGCCTTCCTGAAGGAGAGTGATCCCCCACCCGCCGTCCTGGCGGCCCTGAGCCAGATGCAGACCTTCCTCGCCGATGCCTCCGAGCGGGATGGTCTCTCCGCCACCGAGGCCCTTGGGGCTGTCCTGGGTGTAGAAGGTGTTTTTTTTTTTTTTTCAGGAGTCGGGACAAATGTCCTGCGTTTTATCATCACATTTTCTCGTACAGCAGCGGTTGTGGTAATGGCGATGGTGGCGGTGGTGTTGGCCTTTAGAATGGTTCGCTGTACACAGCGTTGTAGCAAAATCCTACGTACGTTCAGTCTCTGCAAAGGAGGTCCGCAGGATCGCGTCGTGTTTGTGCGCGTGTGTGTGTGGGAGGGTGCGCCATGTCAGATGAAAACACACGTTGGAAACGCTCTGGGCCTGGAGCAAATCGGCAACAGAACGCACCCCTCGGCAAACGTGTGCACTTCCTGTGGGAGAAACGGAGGGCGCGGTCCGCCTTCGTCCCCTCTCGTTCCCGTTTTTTTTCGCATCCTAGGGGAGGCGGACCTCCCCCCCCGCGCTCGCCTGATCTTCTTACTGTACTGCATAGCCACTCAGTCGTTCGCCCTTCCTACCCTACCTACCGTCTCAACCATGCCGTGTGTCTAACCTACAACGAACGCACGTGTTGCCACTTTTGGGAATGTGCATCACACGGCCGGAACATGGCGTTCGGCACGTCGAATCTCGTCCTGGCAACGAAAACAAAGGGTCTGACCCTAAAACACAACTGTCGGAGGAGGCTTTCGTGTCTGCCCTGCTGTCCTCGGCAAGCCTCACGGCATCCCCCGACGAGCTCGCCGCAGCGTACGCGTACACCGCTGGAGGCAGCGGCAGCGGCGGAGGCACTGGTTCTCATCACGGCCTTACCCTTGAGCATCTAGCTGCGTTTGCTTCCTGTGGCGGCGGCGGCGGCGGGGGCGGGGGCGCGGGCTCCGGCGGCGACTGGGTGAGCTGGATCGGCGCGGTGCGCCCGGGGGATGGCGGCGCAGCTGCTCGGCGGGCGCTCGTGAAAGCACGGGTCAAGTGTCGGGACGCCGGGCTGTTGGGGCGCTCCTTCCCCGGCGAGGTCTTCGCCAAGCTGGACCCCGAGGGCGCGGGGCGGGTAGGTCGCCCTGCCTTCAAGCGTGGGCTGCGGGAGATGGGGTTCGCCCTGGTGGACGAAGCTCCGGAGAGCAACAGCGAAGGGCTGTTGGGGGGGGATCAGCAGTGGCGCGCGATTAAGGCGGGGCAGGAGGGGGGACGGGGACGGGCAGCGGGCGGGGGTCTTGGAAACATGCTGGAAGAGGCCGCCTCGGCAACGGCGACCCACGCCGACGAGGAGATCAGGCTGAGAAGGGCGGAGGGAGAAGAACGGGACGAGGCGAGGAGACAAGCGTTCCGAGAAAAGGTTCAGGACATCGAGAGAGCTACCGCGGAAAAGGTTCGTTATTCTACCGCTTGCTGCGGGAATGGTAGATATCACAACCCGGACCCCATCGCTCGCACTGTGTACATGGAAACACACGCAAAGGGCAGATAATACAATGCGTCCGGTTTCTTTCCTATCGATCTAGAACGTCAGCCTCCAAGTTTACCAGGCCACGATGCCTCTCGCTTAGTCCCTAACTCCCTCTGTCACAGCGTGTTTTTGCTCATGCAACCGTTTCCTCACCCATCCCTCTCTCTCAACAAATCTGGGCATGGTCACGCGACACCTGCAATTCTTGCTAAGATTGACGCGGCCGAAGCTCTTTCTGGAGGCGACGGTGTAGGTCCTAAAGGAGAGGGAATCGAGCCCCGCATTGTCAACCTCGACAACGACAATCGCACCCTCGACGGCAGCGGAAACGGGACGGGCCTTGCTCCCCCGAACCAACACCCGTCCTCCACCGTCGCCAGAAACAGCCAGGCGCGAATTGGACCCGCCGGTGGCGGGCTCGGACGAGACGCCGCCGCTTCTCTCGTGCAGTCGAGATTCCGCGGGTACCGCACCAGAAGGGGTCTCGTTGGCGGCGGTGGAGCTGAAGGTCTGACCGCCGGAGGAAAAAGCGGAGCGGGGGGGCAGCCGGATGGTGTCTCAGGAGAGGGTGGTCTTGTCGATGGTGTCGACCGCAAGGGGAAGAGCTCCGTGCTCGACCTCGAGGTGGGCAAGTTATGAATTGAAGAACAAAGTTGGTGGTTCATTCTCCTTTAGGTTTTCTTTGCGACAGAACAACACGGCGGTCGAGACCACAGTGCAGCTTGTCCAGTTTGACACACGACGATGCAACTGACTGTTTGGTTTCAGTGATATTGAGAGATGCCTGTGCCGCTTGGCGAAGGCGAGTACCCAAGTTCGGTTTTATCGCAATGCGTAGAACGGAAGTCTTGGAGCTCAGCCAAGAGTTCCATACATTTTTCGTGTTGCGCACGTTTCTTCCAAACCCCACCCAAACGCCCTCGAAGAACCCGATAGTCGTTCATCTTGTCCCCGTTCACTCCAACCATTTGAAAATAGTACATGCGACTTCACTGCGGATTGCAATCTGACGATGGGCATCATGCGATTCCAATGCGGATTGCATTCTGATGATGGGCATCGCCGCTCGCCCGTACTGCTTGCCACTGGCCAGGACCATGTTGATTCTATTTTCGGTAGGCTGGAGGGCACATGTCCCCTGCCTGATCTCCGCGCGTCCTTCGCAAAGCTCGACAAGGAGTCCACCGGCTTGCTGGATCGTCCACGGTTTGCGCTAGCTCTGCGGAACCTTCGGCCGTCTCTGGAGCTGTCTCCGGAACTGTTACGAGCAGCTATGGAGTACTTTCAAGACTCTACAGCTGTGCGCGGGGGTCGGGTTGGGGGTGAAGAAACGAGCAGAATTGACTACAGGCGAGTGGTAGGAATAGGAGCGAAGCACCGAGGGGCGGGAAAGAGACAGAAAGGGGCCAATAGTGGGGGGGGGGGGGGGG